CAACCCCAGCCACTCTAAGTGATGCCATGATCCTGATGGAGGCAGCATTCCCTCCCTGACACAACAGTGGGAGGCTGCCTGTACAGCTCCAGTTGTCCAAAACACCATTTTTTGGTGATATCCCAAATCAAGGATCAGCTGGTTCTGATCAGATGTAGCCTCAGTTCTTTAGGAGCTGAGACAGAGCTGTAGGAGCATCCCAAGTGTGCTAAAGAAGGACATTTGCATTTTTCAGCCTTCATTCCAGTTGGGTGCCAAAAAAAAAGTTTCAGGGAACTCAGACAGCCTTAATTTCCTTTTACTGGAGTGTTGGAGTCTGGAGTTCTGCTTCTCAAGGCACAGAGCAGTGACAAGTGCAATTGTGATAGTGCCAAGCAGCAATAAAAGAGAGAGGTTTTGTTTCAGGCTTAACCCAGGAGAAACATCTGCCACCGACCTGGATGGGCACCCTCACTGAAAACCCTTCAAAAGTTTGGGAATGAGTATTGAAAGAGATTTAGAGAGTGAATGGCTGCTTTTGTGTCCTGGAGGCAGAGCAGAGCCAGGAGCCCTGCGGGCTGTGGTATGTGTCAGAAGATAAATGTCCTGTCAGAGCTGGCAGCGCTGCCACCAAGGCTGCAAACAACGCCTTGGGCCACAGCCAGCACTGCTTGGAAGCCCTTGCTGCTTCCTCCAGGAGCCATCCCATGGGATGGATCACAGGCATGAATCCAAGTGTGGCTAATGGGGATGTTGCTTCTACCTGGAAGTTGAGAGCAGCTTGGTGGCTGCATCCCCAGGGATGGAGCCATGACCTTTCCCACCTTCTTTGGGTTGTGCTTATCCCTGCTCCTCCATGGGGACAGGGAGTCAATCCAGGGATGTTTCAGCACAGCTGCTTTCCCTGAGTTTGGCAGCTGGTGCTGGGCACGTTGAGCTCTCTGGGAAAATGTGTCACGTTTGGAGCCAGGCGGAATCGCTCCAGACAGGGAGCAATTCCCCATGGGAAATTCTCCTGGGTCCAGACACTGCCATCCCCGCACAATGTTCTGTGGCTGAGCAGTGGGGAATGCAGCCAGGAGAATGTCACCTCTCCTCCTGCCCCTGCTCACTGTCCAGGGTGTAGGGGTGGGTGGCTGGAGAAGATTCCTCATCCTGTTCTCTGCCCTGGCAGTTGTGCTCTCCTGATAAAATGCTGTTTGTGGTTGGATTAAAATCAGCCAGTTTATTGCATTTTCTGTTAAAACTCAAATCCTGGAGCTAGGAATCTGCTTTGCCTCCTTGTTTGCTGCCTCTGTGGGGTGGCCTGGATCCTCCTGAGGATCCTGGGCTGTACTTTTGCAGGGGATCCTATAAAATACTCATAAATAATTTACTATCCATATATTTAAACACCCATATCACCTTCAAGAACTTAGAGGAGCCGAGGGGCTGCAGGTGAGCAGGAGGTCAGTTGTGAATATCTCTATTCCACCCCCAGCTGGATTGCATAGTCTCATCCAGGGAGTGGATTCAGGGCAGGTGGAGGAATTACTGCTCATTAATGGAATAAGAAGCCACTGGAGAAAGTCCCTTATAAAGAGTGGGTAAGCAGAGTGGAAGGAGCCCCATTATGCTGGGGGAGGTTAGCAAGCTGGTCTTGTTTCTTCTATAATTGATTTCCAACCATTAACCTGGAAAAAACTTCCAAGCTCATCAAATCCAGCTTTTCCTGGGCAAGGTGAGAGATGGTTATGGAACAAGAGCAACACGTGAAGTCCTTCACTTGTGCTGCAGGTAGGAAGAAAAGTCACAAGTTTCAGACTTTGCTGAAGACTTTCAGTGTTGCATACCAGAATATCTGTTTTGCCAGCTGTAGCACTGTTACTGTCTGGAGTGGGTGTTTAAAAATCTTCATTATTGATGGGATTTAAGGAGCAGTGGGAGGAGAATTTGGTGGAGAAGGTCTGGGTTTGTTTGACCCTGCTTTGTTGGGTAGAACAATTGTTCCTTGAACAGCTGAAGCAGTGTTTACTGCGATTTCTTCCACCCTAAATACATCCCAGCTCAAGGGCTGAATGTTTGCCCTTCTATACCTTTTTCACACTGTTGCAGAAAGGGAAATACAATTTTTCTGCCTCTTGCTGTGGTGATCAAAGATTCCCTGGGAGATTTTCTGCTCCCATTTGCTTCCCTCCCATGTGTTTTCCCACTTGGAGCAATTTGCAGCTCAGCTGTTAGGCTCAAGGCTCTCCCTGGAGAGCTGAGACTCCATTTGCCTTTCAGAGCATGTACCCACCTGGAAATAATCATGGAAATACTCTTTTTGTACACAAGCCCTTCAATAATCCAGGCAGTTCTTGGAGGGAATCAGGACTCTGTTTTATGAGTCCATTTAACATTGTCGTGTGGAGAGCAGAGGGGGATTTTTATTGAACTCAAGAATCAAATCTTGCTCTCTTCTTATCAAAGAACCTCAAATATTTGGCTGTTTTGTCACTTCTGTCTGTTCAGGGGAATTCTGGCCTGCCGTAAACCCCTTAAAAACTGGGATTTTCATGGTGTAATTCCATGATGTGTTTGGAGTTTGTTTTGTCAACAAATTGCTTTTCCCGTTATTTGCTCTATTGCAGAGTTGAAGTTCTAGGCTTTTCTCATGGTAAGAGTTGGAATTTAAGAACTTAGGGCCTATTTCCCTGTTTTTTAATGGATTTGGTCTATAAAAGATGCCTTTCACTATCCTTCCTTGGATTTCACAGCATAATTATGCATAAAAAAATACCCCATGGTGAGTTGCCAATTTGGGAGTTTAAGGCTGCAAAAATCTAGCCATTTGAACACAATAAAATCTGACCACTTGTCCAAGGCTGTTATCTTCTCCCATAAGCTCATTCCTCATTTGGGAATGCTGGAACTGATGTAATGAATTTTCATTTTATGCTTAGGCCGGGCTGTCACAGGATTCCTGTCCATTTGTTTGCTTGCTCCTGTTACAATGTGGGTGCACGTTCTCCCAGTAATAAAAATGTTCTTCCCAAGGAAAAAAAAAGCTGTTGTTGAGAGCATGAAAGGCGATACTTTTCTGCATTTATCAGCCCAGATTTGTCTTCTCATTAAGTAGATTCAACTGAAACTAATTTTTTTTTAATTAAAAGGGTAAATGATCAGAGAAAAATTTAGGTTGGAAAAGACATTAAAGATCCAGTCCAGCTGTTCCCTCAGCACTGTCGAGCCCCACACTGACCCATATCCCCAGGTTCCATGGCTCTTAAACCCTTCCAGGAATGCTGCTTCCACCTGGGCAGCCCCTTGCCAAGGCCTGAGCACCCTTTCCATGCAGAAATTCCTGCTGCTGTCCAAGCTGAGCCTCCCCTGGCCCAGCCTGAGGCCCTTTCCCCTTCTCCTGTCCCTGTTCCCTGGCAGCACAGCCCGACCTCCCCTGGCTGTCCCCTCCTGGCAGGGAGTTGTGCAGAGCCACAAGGTCCCCCCTGAGCCTCCTTTGCTCCTTAAATCTCACCCAGTGCCACCCCTGCCATGGCAGGGACACCTTCCACTGTCCCAGGCTGCTCCAAGCCCTGTCCAGCCTGGCTTTGGGCACTTCCAGGGATCCAGGGGAAGCCACAGCTTCTCTGGGCCAGGGTGTATTTTGGGTTAAATTTTTGTTGTGTCTGTGTGTTTCCTTCAGCATCACCTGGGAATGTTGATGGTTCTCAGGTTTTTATGGACAAAAGATGATGGGAAACCAGAGTAGTGCAAATCACAGCTGGTTGAGGATGGGAGAGACATCCTCTGGTTCAGGGTGCCATGGACCATGTCCTGATGGCTTTTGGGTCTTTCCAAGGAGGACAATTCCACAGCCTCCCTGGGTGGGCTGTAAGGCAGTGGAGATACAGCTTCAAAGTCAGGTTACTCCATGGAGCTTTGGAGACCCAAACTCGTGCCCTCATCCTGCTCCAGACTGATGTAGGTGCAGTCCTGTGGACCCTGGCTCAGGGGGCTCTTTATGGCTGCATCACCTGCTCATCCCAGCCTGGGCAGCCTTTGCTGAGGGAATTGCTGCCAAACAAGTGACAAAGTCACCTTTTTGGCTGAAGAAAAGCCATAACTTTGTCTGTCAAACCACCTGGGAGGTGTTCAGAAACTCCCCAAGGGCTTGGATGGGGGCTCAGTGCTGCCGAGCTCTGCCCTCTGCCCATCCAGGTGTGGTTTCACCCTTTTTTCTGATGCTGCTTGGAGCTGATCTTCCCTGCCCTGTTTTTGGGTTGCATTTTATTTCTGGAGGGGCTGAAGCAGAGCAGGAAGGAATATGGCTGAGCAGGTTTGTGGCACACAAGGATTCCAGTGGATCCTGAATGGATCCTGTTGCAGTAAGGTAGAAAAATCATAAAGAAAGTCCGCATAAAGTCAGGCTTTCTCCTAAAATAAGTGGCTGGCCTTGTCAAGCTAGCCCTTTGCAAGTTCCCATGTGAAAGCAATCCTGGTGTGAGCAGTTTATTAGTATAACAATCTATTCCTGAGTGAAAAACAACCAGCACCTGTATAAACTGGTTTTACACTATGAGATAGTTTTCATTTTTCTGTCTCTCTCAAACAACTTTTCCTGCACATACACACTGAGAGTTTGAGTGACCAATCAATACAGAATAACAACTTGTTACTCACAAATAAAGTAATTGGTAAGAAACCTACTGACCAATTAGAGTCCCACACAAGGTCTGTAAAACTGTATAAAAAGGAGTTATGTGACTAAAGATGGGTCTTTTTCCACCATGAAGAAAATGGAGTCTGTGTGATTTATTCCTGTAGATCCCTAGTTGGTTACCAGCTTTAGGGGTGGCTCTGCAGAGGTTTATTCCAGTGATCTCCCATCATCACCAAATCCATCCTGGCTGCTAGAAAAGAAGCAGCTTTCCATGATATATTTTTCCTGTTCAGCCCCAGACCACGAAAGAGAAGTCTCGGGAAGACAGAAGGGAGGAAAGCAGCTGGACGTGTGCCCTGTCTAAAGGGATTCATTAATCGAGGTTTCTTTTGTATTGCAGCGTTCCCACATTCCAGAGCCTTCCCGAGGAGATCCTCAGTAAGCTTGCAGATGTCCTGGAAGAGGTAAGAGCTTTAATGTTGGGATTTCATGAGCTCAGAACCTTCTGCTGGCAATATCCAGCCTCTTCTTTTTTCCCCAAAGAGCAGCTCCCCAGGTTGGCAGCTATCGAGGCCATGAGAGGAGTTGTGGGGAAAGTGAATCCAGTTTTGAATAAGGTTAATATATTTTTTAAATTGGATTTTTATCCAATTGAAGAGTGAATCAATTATTTCCTGTGGTATCCAGAAGGGAATGAGCTTCTCCAGCCTCTGTGTGAGTGGTGGGGAGGAGGGGAATGTGAAAACCTGGTCTCATTTCAGATTTGATGGGACAGTTATGTTGGAAGGTATTTTAAAGGTGTTGTGGAGAAGGTGCTCTGGGAAGAGTTCCAGAGGTGTTGAGATGCTGGGATGGAGTTGGGCTTTGCCTGCCTGGCTTTAACTGAGGTCTCGTTAGGGTCAGGCTTTTCATAAGTCTACTCAGAACAACAAAGAAATCACCCACAAAACACCAAAAAAAAACAAACAAAAAAACCCCAAAATGCTGAAAACCACAAAAAACCTACAAGCCCTGCCAAAATGCAAAAAAAACCCTAATCTGCACCCTACTAAAATACCCCAAACCTGCCCAACCTTGCCCCATAAACAGATGTAGAATGGATGTAAAATATTTGGGTCATATCACAGTTTCCCCCCATATTTTATTCCCACAATGTTCCCTTCTGAGCCTGAGGAATTCAATATCCCACAAAGTCGTTAATAAACCCTTCCAAAAGGTGATTTAAATGCAGGGAATGAGTGTGTGGCAGTAATTTATTTCATTCCTGCTGGCTTTTCTTCATCCACGCCTCTCCATCAGGGAAGATGTTCCCATGGATTTGGAGGAAAAGTGCTGCTGACATGGGAGTTGATTTGAATTCCTTTTTTTTCTGAGCTTTGCTGGGGTGTTGTTCCTTCTCTGCCTTTTTATTTAGTGCCCAGATAAATTCTGTGGCTCCAACAGATCAGCTGTTTGTCACCCTGAATAATTGCATATTCACAGATAAGCTTTATTCCCTTTACTGCCAGGGAATGCTCTGATTTAAGGAAAAAAAGGGTATGAATTCCCTCTGCTGTAAATTTCATCTGCCTATCTCAAAACCCCACTCCCAACCAGAATTTGCTTGGATCACATCACCAGCATTAAGCTCCTTATCAGGAGTTAAGGAGGAGAATAAAGTCCATAAAACTTTTCCAGAAACACTTAAAGTTTCATGGCAGCTGGGGAAAAAATTCTTAATAAATATCAGTGAAGAAATGAGGCATGAAAGCAGCATTTATGGGGAATAAATCTAGATTGTTAGGGTGGATGCTCCCAGTTTTCTGTTAGGTATGAGTGTTATTTTCTCTGGGTTTGTCTTGGATTGAATAGGCTGTGTTTTGCATAAATTAAAAATAAAAAGTCACTCTCAAATCTGTATATTTAGATATAAACACCTACCTGGCTACAGCCCCCTTTTCATAGTTTATATCTGTGAAGTATTGGAAAACCACTCTGGATCATGGAATTCTTAATATTATGTGGAAAAACATGTCTGGTGACTCACACAGGGATTATCTGGGTGGCACCAACATTGCCAATAATTTCAGTCTTTATGGATAATTTCATTTAGCAAATGGAATTAAAATGCTGAAGGGAGTTAGGATGGGAGTCTGTTCCTGGCATGGCTGAGGAGTGGGATGAGCTTTTGGTGGGCATGGGCAGTGCTCAGAGATCTGGGCTGGCTTTTCCTCCTCTCCCTCTTTTTTCTTCTTCATTTTTATTTGGGTTTTGTGGCACAAAATTAGGATTTCTTTCCTGTCCTTAAGCTGCTTCACATTCTGGCACTGCTTTTCCTCTTAAAGGATATTCCCTGTGCCATTCAAATGTAAAACTTGTAGGGTTTCCATCTCAAATCAGGTGTTCAGGTACTGATAGATGTAATGAAGGTTCCTTGACCTCTTCTTCTCTGAAGCTACTTCCAGGTAGTCATGATTTTGGAGTTTTCCATTTGATCTCACATTCTTTATTGGGCCTACAGCTGATTCTTCTAAATTTTGTTCCCCAACTCCAAATTCCTAGTCCTCTTCCAAAGAAGCATCCCTTTGCCTGGATGTCAGGGATGGAGCTGTCACCTGCCTCAATATCTGGCTGAACTCCACTGAATTGGGGTTTTCAGGGAAGGGGAAAGAAGCAGGAAATCAGAGCCAGGGGCAGCTGGAGTAACTAATCCCACACTGGTTTGGGTTGGAAGAGACACTAAGGATCATCTCATTCCACCCCTGCCATGGACAGGGACACCTTCCACTGTCCCAGGCTGCTCCCAGCCCTGTCCAACCTGGCCTTGGGCACTGCCAGGGATCCATGGGCAGCCACAGCTGCTCTGGGCACCCTGTGCCAGGGCCTGCCCACCCTCACAGGGAACAATTCCTAATTCCCAGTACCCCATCCAGCCCTGCCCTCTGGCAGTGGAAGCCATTCCCTGTGTCCTGTCCCTCCATCCCTTGTCCCCAGTCCCTCTCCAGCTCTCCTGGAGCCCCTTCAGGCCCTGGCAGGGGCTCTGAGCTCTCCCTGGTGCCTTCTCCTCTCCAGGTGAGCACCCCCAGCTCTCCCAGCCTGGCTCCAGAGGGGCTCCAGCCCTGGAGCATCTGTGTCCTCCCCTGGATTCACTCCAGCAGCTCCAGGTGCTGTTGGTGCTCCAGACAGAATTTCAAGTTCTGTGGCTGCAGATGCACAGGAGGAGATCGAATTAAGGTCTCCTTGGCATTTTCAACCCAGGCCTCTTCATCTGCATTTCCTAATCCTGTTCCTTGGCTGCTTGGGATTTAGCCTGGTAATCCATGGAAGATGTTGTGAGTGGAAATCTGAGCAGCTGGAGCAAGTGACAGTGACAAAGGTGCTTTGATTTGCTTACCAAACCCTGCAGATTGGTTTATTATGCAGATAATGTCAGGTCTAAACCACGTCATGTGGATTTGCCTCCTTTGTTGTATCCAGAACTTGAGACAGCTTTGACATTTATGTGTGTGTATATTTATGGATTATTGCTGGATGTGCAGAAATTTAAAGTGTTTGTTCCAGGCCTGGCTGGACAGGGCTTGGAGCAGCCTGGGATAGTGGAAGGTCTCCCTGCCCATGGCACAGGGATGGATTTTAAAGTCCCTTCCAACCCAAACCATTCCATGATTCTCTGACAATACTTTATAATACATTGAAATATATAATATTTATCTATCATGGTTGTATATAAATAGATATTTAAATATAAGCATGGCTAATTGCCCTAAATCCAGCTGTAGAGCCCTAAATCCATCTTGATTAACTCATCCTGGGTTAACAGGAGAGCAGCCACAGCTTGGCAGTGCTGGAAATGCCACTCCCACATCTCCCAGTGTGTGTTTTGGGAGTTCTTTCACTGGAAGCATTAATACTCAGAATTTTAATTTATTTGAATGCACTACTGAGATCCAAGTGCCAGCGATGTGTTTCCTCCAGCCCCAGGCAGCCTGGCCTTGGCTCCCAGTGAATCCCTGCACAAACAACTGAGGGGAGAGGCAGAGAAATGTGCTGAACCCCACAGGCAGAGGCTGCCAGGGATGGAAACTCTTCCTGCCACTCTGGGTGCTGAAATCTGGGATTCCAGCTCCTGTCTGCAGCCACTTCAGCAGCTCAATTTGTGTGCTGAGTGTCACTTGCCAGCCTTTGTCTTGTTCCTTCCTTTCATTTTAATTCCAATGAAAGACTGAATTTCAAAGGGGACAAATTTAAAAAAATAAAACACAACCCAAAATTCTTCCTGGTTGCTTGTGGAGCTCCTGTTGTGGCTCCTGGTGGAGAGTGGGATCTTGGAGGAGATTTCCGGGCTTAATTCAGCTTTCAGGGCTGTCCTGGGCCTTCCCAAGGATCCTTCCTGTTCCATGCTGCTCAATTAGTATGGATCAGATGGCCTTGGGATGCCTCTGGTTAATTAACAGAGGCTGAACACAGCCCTGCCTTTGCAGGATTGTGTGGCAACAGTGAATAGGAAAGGGAAAATGTGCAAAATTAATTAGCTTTCCATAGAATTTGTGGGTTTTAGGCTTGTTTAGGAGTGAGAATGGCTCTGGGATAAAGGGAATCAGGTCCCTGGTCTGTCCTGCAGGCTCTGCCAGCACCAAGGCAGACGTTGATGTGATACAGAGCCAGAAATCAGATTTGAGGGAGAACTCAAAATAAGCAGGGAAGAGTAAAAGGTTTTGGTTAAGAAAAAATATATTAATGTTGTTATTGATATTTTTTTCATCAAAGTAAGCACTCTGGGGAGTGCTCACTGGAGGAGCTATGGGATAGGGTAATGCTGCCTGTGGGGGCATCAAATCATCTTCAGTCACGACTGACTCCATCACAAATGGACAAAATTTTGACTCGAGTTGTACTTCCATTAATTTTTCAAATGGTGCTCATGAGAACACAGCTTTGAGTTTGCAGGTGCACCAGGAAATAAAAGCTTTTTGGGGAAGAAAAGCATTAGAAAATAAAATGCAGCTGGAGCAACTGGAGTGCAGGAATGCAGTGGAGTCAGTGGCAGGAGCTGCTCTAGCTTTGGATTGGGATAAAATGTATTGTTTGGAGTCAAATTTTCCTTTTGATTTTCTTTAATGTGGGCACAGACCACATGAAGGGAATTAAAATTAATCTCCTGCTTGTGTTAGCACAGGAAAGGAGTTCAGTATTCCCTGGTTTCTGTGGGTTCTTGTCAGGACTGTGGTCATCCCTGTGTGTGTTTATTGCTCATCCCCTGCTCTCCTGAAGTGGGAGAAGTGGGGCAGGATTTGTGTTTTTCTTCTCCATTTCTGCAAAACTTATTGTCAAAAGGTGATGCCAGTGGAGAAAACTTTTGGGACTCTGCTTACTTCCTAATGTCCCAATATCCCATCCATCCCTGCCCTCTGGCAGTGGAAGTCATTCCCTGTGTCCTGTCCCTCCATCCCTTGTCCCCAGTCCCTCTCCAGCTCTCCTGGAGCCC